CAATAGGATGGCCCCAGCCTCTGCTTCTCTGGGGTGCCTGCCATTTGGGACTTCCCGTGCCATCAGGACAGGCAAGACTGTCCTAAGGACTGCTGATCCTCTTCACAGGCTTCTACATGCATATCCAACTAAAAGAGGTAGAGGGGGTCTCTGAACAATGAAGATAGCAGGACACTTAGACATCAGTTGGAGGGCTATTCTATAGAGTCCTCAGACCTTCCTATGAGTTATGACCAAAGGGACAGACCTACTTACAAGACAAAATGAAACCAGGCATCTGACAGGATGGATTGCAGATCAGAGGGTCTCAGCAGGAAAATGGCAATGCCCTGGAGTCAACAGAAAAGAAAGGCTTAACCCTCTTCCTGCCCTCACCCAAGGCTTTAGGAGGTACTTCCCCAGTAGGGATTCTGGTGGGCTTCCTGTACGTAGCAGCTCAGCTAGTGTCCAGGGGTGACCTGGAGGACATCACTGACCCCTCACTGAGGGTGACCCCTACCACAGGCTTCTCACTCCTATCCTCAGCCCAGAAATCACAAAGCCACACAGTCACTATAGCTACCCACCAAATGTGGCTTAGTTTTCCAGCCTCTGAGCTTTTTTGCCTGCTGTTTCAAATGGCCTCCCTGCCCTGTCATACCATACTGATGAAGCTCCCATCCGTGCTCCACTCCCAGACAAGTCATCTCCCTCCCTCTAAACACTGCTCTGATCCACCTTACAGCCTGAATGTTAATGTCCATGAGCTCCCTTACCAAGCTGAGCTTAGGAAAGGCAAATTCCCTCCATCCCTGTCACACAAGCATCCCAGTGTCCCATATACAAAAGGTTGATTCATTGAAATGGACGGTTGAAGGGGTAAGCAGGTAGGTATATGAGTGAGTGAGTGGGTGGGTGCACAAACAGATGGAGAAATGGTTGAACAAAGAACAGAAGTATGGTGCTGATGTTGTGGAGGATTCGGAATGGATGAATGAGTGACAGATGATAAAAGGTGGGTAACAAAAAGCTAGAATCAAGAGGGAAGAATGATAGACAGAGTGATTTGAAGGATATATATACACAGTGGATGACTCAACTGATGAATGGAGGAGTGAATGGAGCCAATAGAATTAGCCAGTTTTACTCATTATTCTCTGTACTATACCTTAGGAATCTAAGGCCTAGAAAGGAAATGTCTTCCTGAAACCCCTACAGTAGTGAAAATATAGGCTGGAGTGGAAACCAGCCCTGTTCCCACCCTGCTGGCCTCAAGGGGTAATCTAAAAGGGTATAAAAATGGACTCACCTCTTTCACAGAGATGCACGTAGCCCAGATAAGAACAAACATCCTCCCTAGGAGTTGCAGCCAACTCATTTTGTGTGTTAGGGCCAAGGGGTGTGGGAGGGCCTGGGGAGTAAGGGAAAAGGATAGTAAGGGTGTGGAGTGGGGAGGGAAGGGCAACACCAGCGCTGGAGGAATCAGGCTGTATACACATCCTGGGCCTTCCAGACAGACCAGAGGCCATTGTGGAACCTCGTCTCCTAGCCCTACCTGCCCCATGCTCAATGAGAACCAGAGTTTTGCAGTGAGAGGGGCAATGCTCTATTTGCTAACAACCCTGATATATGGTTCTCTCTGACCACATCCACTACCAGACTCTCAACAGGGCCTCCTCCCATAGTTCAGCACTCAGCACTCCACTAGCAGATGGGAAACTGAGGCCCAGAGTAGTGGGGAAGTTTGACCAAGTAACCTCTCCTCCACCCACCTCCTGTGGGCCTCACAGCAGACATGTATTTTAAGGATCTGGAGCTCCTTAATCCCCAATTCTCTCCCAGTATGAATCTCCCTAGATCTGTTCACCTACAGCTTGGCTAACTGTTCTGTTCACTGGAAATTTTGGAGAAAAATTGGACAACACCATGAAAATCCCTTAGCCTCTCTGGGCCTCAGTTTCCCCATCTCCACATGAGGCAGTTCCAAAATCCTCCACCTCAGACCTTCCCACCCACTACCCCATCCCTAGGACCCCCATACCTCATCCTCCCGGGGACGGTAGTAAGAGACGAGGGTCAAGGTGATGTTGTAGAAGAAATAGAAACAGAAGGACAGGAAGAACATGTACTTGGCAAATTTCTTCCATTTCATATGCAGCAGCGTGTGCAGGGGCTCCAGGGTCAGCATCTCATGCCGGTTCTGGGGATAGAGCACCATGGAGATGAGGCAGACAGAGGACCATTTTCAAAGGGCCCGTCAGGAGCCCAGAGTCAGTGAGGACAGTGGCAGAAGGCTCCAGTCATTGGGAGCAAAGAACTGGCTTGATGGAAATGTTGGAAGAGTAACTCCCAGCTCCCCTGGTTCCTTTGGGGCAGTCAAATGCTATGGGGGGCAGCTTCTGGCTGCAGGGACTGGAGACTAGAAAGGGGTTCCAGTATCCCTGTAACCTTAGGATGCCTTGTGAGCCTTTCTCAGCTTCACCTCTTCATCTATACCATACAAGCTGCTGTGAGGGCCCAGGGAGCCTCTGGGGGTAGGACTGTTGATAAAATACAAAAGATGGAGCCTGGTCCTCTGCCTCACTCACCCCAAGAGCTGAAAACTGTCTGAGCTGATCCTCCAGCTTCACTGGCCTTCCCTCTCCCACCTCCTCCTAAATGGGTCTCAATTGCTCCGGCTAGTAAGCACTTCACATGTACTCAAGTTTAGAGGAAGAAAGGGCTCTAAGCCAGACCATATGGATGAGTCAAGGATATGAGCTCAGTACCACACAGATCTTCATTGCCTCCAAACTGCCCAGGATTCTGAAGCCAGGCCCCTCCCCCTTAGCTCTATTATTCATTGTTGGCCAGAAACAAAAGAGCTAGCTTCTGCTTGGGTCTTGCCCTCTGTGTCAGATTCCACCAAGGCAAATCACCAATATGGGGTTTAGGGGACTCTGGCACAATTCCTCCCAGGGTCCTCAATCCCTGGCCTGGGGTCCACCCCTCACTGCTTGTTCCTGCCACCTGCTTGGGAGACCCACGTCAATGTTGGTGTTGTAGACGATGATCTCCAGCACGGAGTTATCTGTCGTGGTGTCTACGTTGGTGAGGTCATAAAGTGAGGATGACACAGGCCCATATGCCCAGTCCGTGAACTTCCTGGACAGGCTCCGGAGAGGCTTCTCCTTGATCTCTCGACTGAGGATGTACTTCAGGATCTGGGATGGAAAGAGGGATAATGGGGCTTGTGTACAATAGGGCTACATCAGCCAGACGCAGGTCAACCCAGACCTACCAAAATACTATGAGTACCACCTCTGCCTGGAGCCATGACCCTGGGTTCCAGCTGTGTCTGTGAAATGGGAGTAAAGTTCACAGTTCTGCCTTCTCGTAGAGCCTAAGAACCCTTTGCACACTGCAGAAAGCCAAACCATCAGCTGGTGGGTCCCCAAATCAGCTGGGCTCCGGTTCAGTAAAGAATCTAAGAGCTGACCAAGTGATCTCCGTGAGGCCTGAACTTGAAGCTCTTGGCTTCTCTGCTCTTCCATTCCACCCTCAGTCTAGGCTTTACAGCCAGGCTTATCACTCTGGCTGGATAAGCTGTGACATCAGGCACCAGCCTTCACAAAGAGGCCTGTGGAGCCCACTCTGTAGGTCAGTGGTCCTCAAACTCTTCTATGTGTTAGGGTTTCCGGGGAGTTTTTCAAAACACAAAGCCAGATGCCGGGAGAAACCTGGAGAGTATTTTGTGAAGCTCTCTGGGTAGGTTCCCTGAGGGGGGTGGGGGGGCATGGCTCTCCATCTCACCACTTCCTGAAAGCTAAGCCATCGATCACCCTAAATTGGGAATAGAGCATCCAGGGGCATGAACCCACAACCCAACAAGAGAGATCTGTTGGGAGAACAGCATCCATGTGTGAATCTCTCAATTTCCAGCATTCTCACAGCATCTCCCATCACAGCTAGATGGACAGCTCCTACACCCCTGGTGAGTAAAAGCCCCAAGGGCAGGTCTATGGCTTCAGCATTGTTGTGTCCTCCATTCCCAGTAGGGCAGCCAGCTGGGGTTTTCCACAAGGCACTGAATAAAGGAGAGGACTCAGGAACCTCCCTGAGACTGGCCTGGACGAAAGCCTATCCCCTAGAGCAGCAGATCTCAACCTGTGGGTGGAGTGAGGCCCCTTTGGGGGTGCAGACCACATATATACATTGCGATTCAGAACAGTAGCAACATTACAGTTATGAAATAGCAATGAAATGATTTTATAACTGAGGGCCATCACAAAGTGAGGAACTGTATTAAAGGGCTGCAGCATTAGGAAGGCTGAGAACCATTGCCCTAGAGCATAAGAGGTCCCAGAGCCATGCCTCCTCAAGATGCATCTTCCCTGGGCTGGGGAGCAGGGAGTGTGAGACAGAGTCACGCAGGGAAAAGCTCATGGAAAAGCTACAAGCTATGACCCTGGGTGGCAGGATGGGGGTGGGGGATCAGACATACAATTCTCCCTTTATTAAAGCTGTTCTCCATCTCTTCCTCCCCCACAAGGAAATAAAAGGGTCCCTTGTGAGCTCCAGCCCCAGCCTGACCTCAGGGCAGCTGACTAGGAGAGGTAGAAGGGTACACAGCC